AATGTAAGCCAAGCTGTCGATGTCCCAAGAGTGCAACCACTGGTGGCCATGCATTCCAGGCGGTGTCTATTCACAGGGCAATGAGAACCCTGAGATGAGCTCAGATGGCCATGCTCCGCCGTCAACCGCCTGCAAGTATACCCAGTCAGCTATCTACGACATCTGCGGAGTCCGGACCTTGTAAGTGGCGACCTTGTCTATATCTAGTGGACACACGGCCCGTTGAAGAGTTCGGATAATGCTCGGCTTCGATTCGAGGGAGGGCGTCGATCCCCCAAACTAGCGCCCTGAGAGTGCATGGTGCGGAAGGTATTCTCCTTCGAGTTTTAGTTCCACACGCTAACGAGAATGCAAACTACTGCGGATTATTCAGCTCACCATGCGTACAAGAATACCTACGTGCTATGCCTGTGCACTCTCGCGCCCCAGGTTTGATCCTGGTGCTTTAGCCTACCCACCGAAGTGCGTTAGCAGTATATCTGACCAACTGTGGAATACTGTAGACTCGGCAGGAACTTCATCCTCATCGATAAACGACCCTTGCCATGATTCTCCTCTTCCGTCATGTGAACCCCGTCCGCCCCGGCCCGCCGTTGCGCTCGCTGTTCCACGCGTCTCGCAATATAAAACCCAGGACAACATATCCCGCCATCCATCTTCCCTCTCTTTCTCTCTCCACTACCGCACGCAGAGCAATGGCCACCATCACCCTCAAGAGGACAGGTGACAAGGTATGTCTGCAAGTCGTATGGTCATGTCCCTTGGCTGACCTCTACCCCAGATGCCCATCGTGGGGTAAGATTAACTTTCTACTCTTGATATGTGGCGCTGACACATTGGGTTATTTCTGAAGCCTTGGTCTCTGGAAGGCATGCCGTGCTCTCCTTTTGCGAGAGTTAATGTATTTACTTACAACTTGTTCAGATCCCCCGTCCTCAGTGCGCGGATGTGAGAATTTTGCTTCGCAGAATGCCGGCGAGTCTCTGTTGATGTTATCTTCCCAGACCGTATACAACGCTCTGAAGGCTGGTTACCGTCTTCTCGACGGTGCTGGAGACTATGGAAATGAGAAGGAGGCTGGTGAGGGCCTCGCTCGCGCCATCAAGGACGGCATCGTCAAGCGTGAGGAAGTCTGTGAGTGTTCTGAGCAATTGCCCCTTCTCGTTTGCTAACGCTTGTCATCATCGCTGCACAGTCGTCACCACGAAGGTACGTTCCCGAAGGCAACTTCTGAAGCGCAATATTCTCTGAACTATGTGGGATTCATAGCTTTGGAACACTTATCACAAGAAGGAGCGCGTGAGTAGACATCTCCAGATGTATCTCCGCTTGACTAAGTCTTCACTCCAGGTCCACGAGCTTGTCAAGTTTCAGCTGGGGCTCTGGGGCATCGACTACTTCGACCTCTTCCTCATCCACTTCCCTGTCGCCCTTCAGGATGTCGCCATCAAAGACAAGTACCCCCCTGAGTGGTGGGGTCTTGACGGCAATGTTCATCCTAGTGAGTACATTCTGTTCTCTCGGCACATTCCCTTGTTTACGAATTCCGCAGCAAATATCCCCATTCGTGAAACCTGGGAGGGTATGGAGGAAATCTGCGAGCTAGGTCACGCCAAGAACATCGGTGTCTCGTGCGTGTTTACCATCTGGCTTGATGCGCCATCTTTTAACTTACAGAATGATGCAGTAACTTCCAGGGCTCTATCCTAATTGACGTCCTGCGCTATGCGCGCATCCCGCCCGTCGTCAATCAGGTCGAGCTTCACCCGTACCTCTCCCAGAAGAAGCTTGTCGCTCTCTGCAAGGAGCTTGGCGTCGCCGTTACTGCCTACTCTTCTCTTGGTCCGCAGGGCTACTATGAGCTCGGAGTTGACACTGGCCATCCCAGCTTGCTCAAGCACGATGTTGTCACCTCGATTGCGCAAGCCTCCGGGAAGACTCCAGCTCAGGTGATCCTCCGCTGGGCCGTCCAGCAGGATATAGCTGTCATCCCCAAGTCTAACAGCCACGAACGCCTAGTCAGCAACCTCGAGGTCACCTCCTTCGACCTCACTCCCGAGCAGGTGCAGCAGATTGACGGCCTCAACATCAACCTTCGCGTAAGTTTGCGCTTTCGTTACTTGCGCAATCCGACGCTAACACACCTCTGCAGCTTAACGATCCCCAGGACATCCACCCTGGCCTTGGCGTCTTCGCA